ACATCAGAAAGTTTTGATAACTCTTACAATTTAGTATCAAAAAATCCCATTTTCGACGCGCTTTAATTTGGTAGAAAGTTAGTTATGTGTGCTATTTGAAACTATAGTGTTACCTCCCTGGAAAAACATTTTTACGCACCCTGTATATATATATACAATAAATATTCAGAAATAGTGAACAAAAGAAATGATCGCCGAAATAAAACTTAGAAATGAAGATGATTGAAAAAGCATTGGACAATCTTCGTATAGAAGAACTTCATATCGATGATCTCAGGTTGTCGCAATGAGATACACAACCCTAAATTCTCTATCTAATGGTAGTAAATAGTTTACTTCTGGCATTGACTTTGACAAGCGAAGGCTTTACAAAAATCAGTAGGCGTCAACAGAGAATATGAAATCGTAATTGAATGACGAAGTAAACGTAAATCTTTTAAGTTTGACGTTGACAAAGTTAAATTTGTTCGAAAAAAAAAATAAAGGCAATAGTTTTGGGCAACATGAAATTCTATATCTTTTGACATATAAAAGAAAATTTTTTATGCTTATGAAAGACACCTAGATTTAGTACAATTCTTTTTCTGGAACATTCATTAATAATTTTACATACTTATTGAATTGTTTCGATTATATTCATATTTTTTTATTTTAATTGAATTTTTATTATTATCAAATGATTTATCATTTGAATTTATATTCAATGATGATAATAAAGTACCATTAAATGTTAAACAATTATTATTTGTTATTTTTTTATATTGATCATTTTTTTTACCAGACCAATATGCTTCTTGTTGTAGTGATAAATTACCTTGATATGTTACTTTTATATAAGGTAATAATGTTGATGAATTATGATCACAATATGTATAGAATAAATAAGCCATTAATGAAATATAATATTTTGCTAAATCACGAACCTTTTTGTTTTAACAAAAAAAAAAAACAACAAAAGCGATAATATTAAATCAATAGATAAACTTACATGAGCCATAGCACAATATTTATTCTCAAGTATAGCATGATAATCACATGCACGAGAATGAAGTACAGGTTGTTGAGGAGTTTTACTAAAGACAAAAAAGAAAGACATCGTTATCATTATTATTATTATTTCGATAATTAAAATATAAACCCCATTAATACGCCAAGATCACATTTAAATTGAACTTGATTATAGAAATTTTCATAAATAACAGCAATTAATGCTTCAATTGGATATAATGTATAATCATCATTACGATCTCGTGTTGATGGTTGATCATAAAGCCAATCAAGTGCAGCTTTTGTTGACCAAAATGATTCCATTGTACAAAACATTGGCATTGGTTCATTATGAATTTGATTACGAAAATCACATAATGAATCAAGCATTTCATTTAAATCATCTAATAATTGATTATAATCTTGTGTACCAATTTTTTCATATGGGGTACATGGTAAACCTAAAATGAATCAGAAAAAGAAAAATAAATATCGTAAGGAGAAATACAATACAATAGAATTTATTCTTTATCATTGATTTAAAATAAACAAATACAAATATTGTCTTTTTCTTTTCTCATAAAAAACTCAATTGTTAAAATTATGATTTTCTTCAAACTAAAGACAATATGATCTGTACAGTTTATTAAGATAGTAACTGTTAATCTCATTTCAAAATATAACGATGAAGATATTTTAGTTAAGGTAATCTTTTGAGAAGTAAGTTATACTGAACACATCGAATAAAAAACGTCCGTCTCGCTTGTTTTTCTCTATCAAAATAACTCGTTTTGATGAAACAAGTGCAGAAAAAAATGAAAAAATAAATAAAATATTTTCAAACCATGAGTTCGTCTTGAATGTTCGAGAATATCTGCTTGATAACCAGTTGGTAATTGATCACCTGGATGAACAAAATCATGAAAATCATCCGTAATTAAACAAAAACGTTTTGATAAATTTGAATGACGTTCATAATGTTCATTAATTTTTTTTGTTATATTCATTGATTGTACATCAATATTACTTTCATATAATTGTGGCCAAAATGTTGTTTCAACAAGAGCTATTTCAGCTGGTATAGCAAAATAATCAATATGACAATATGTATTAATATGTAATAAATAAATTGGACAAAATGGCCAACGATGATAAATTATTTGTTCTTGAATTTGTGCACAACTTTCGCTAAATAAAGCTTCATATTGTTTTGTATCACGATATGATGCACTTGTTATTGATGGTCGAAGTGGGGATATATTTTTTGATAGAATAGGAAATAGAATACGTTTAAATTCCCTATTATTATTATTATTATTATTATTATTATTAATATCATTTTCAATATTTGACAAAGATGAAAGACGACTTGAAGAATGCATCTTTTTTTTTTAAAAATTTTTATCGTAAACAAAAAAAAATCTGAAAGTATTGGAGATAAAGACTTATGCAATTTATCTAATTGATTAATAAGTGTATCTTATTGATTAAGTGTGTGATAGAGAGGATTAATAAGTATTACTGTTTTTGTGTAGTAGGATAACTGTTCGCTCCATTCGAATAATAATATTTTATCGAATGATGTCGCTCGAAGACGAAATTTCACTAATCAATGGTCTTGTCGTTATTCTCTCTCGATTCTTGTTTTTTCGTGACTTTGAGGCAAGATTCTTGTCTGAGAAAAAAAAAACAGATCTTGACTTTTTGGCTAGATTCACGCAGATCTAATCTTGGTTGATTAGGCAAAAACTGTTGCACCGGTAAGATCTTGTGTTCTTTCCTGATCCTGGTGGTTCAGGTATAGTCCTTTTATAAGTTCACATGATTATCTTCTCTCGTTATTGTTTTGTATTCACTATAGGCTACTAGTAAAATACATGAATAAGTAAAATATAAGTACAATAAGAAGTGATGAAGAACATTTACAATGGTAAATAAAAAGAACAAAACAAAACATAATTTTACAGTCAGACTGTAAATCTAACAAGTTTACCATTAGAAAAAAAAATGGGAAACAAATAATCGCAGCAATCTATATACCATTAAAAATACGTAACTTTTGTAGTGCGTCGTTTTCATTTTTATCATCTGGAACTGATAAATATTCAATTATTGTCGAAGTTCTTCGTCTTGATAGAATTATTCTTGATTAATTGAATAACTCTTGTGCATTAAGTTGAATACGATTAATAGGCATAATAAAATATGTTGTAAAAAAAATTAAAGTAAACACAATAAACATTAACTGTCGTCGCATAGTAATGGATAACTAACGTTCAGATGTTCGTATATGTTCAATTCAATTTTGATTAGAGTCGAAAATTTTCTAAGTGAAATTTTGGAAACAAAAAAGATGAAAAAACTACTCATAAAAATTATGTAACCTGTTTTATTATACGGAATAAATGTAAATGAATAAATATTTCTTTATGTCTGATAATCATACTTTTGAGTAATCAACAAATTTGTACCTGAAAATTGGAGAATATAAAATGAATAATACTTTAAAATTAAGAAGTCTATTTTCGAGTAATTCACAATGATTATTGTAGTTTTATTCATTTCAACATCAAACTACCAACATTGCTCTTTCGTTGATTAGAAAATCATTATCTATAATGCCTAAGATGAGTGAGATACTAATGATTGATTTCTTTGAGCTTTTATTTAAACTTTCGATTTATGAAGTAGGAATCCATTTGGTTGCAACTGTTAATTGTTTTAAATGGAGATCATATATGAACATTTACTGTGAACAGATAAATATTTATTGACTTTATGGAAATAAACAATTTTTTAATATCAATAATTTTTTATGTGTTGATAAGCTGCTCTTAATTCTTGCTCATCACACTCATGACATCATCATTGTTTCAAATTAATAGATGAAAACCATGAATTACTATTTTTACATCATATTTTTATCAATAGATTATTAATTGTATGGATATTATGAAAGCTTTCAATTTCGTTCTAATAGAAAGTTAGTTTTGATTTAAAATATGGTTATTTCACTAAGTAAACTTTGCTAGGTTCACTAACGAAATTTTAAAAAAAAATAGACTTTTTTTACTATTTCATATACAATTCATTTGGTAAGATCTAATTCTATTGAGAAGTCTCAAATATTTCTTAAATCATCAGATAATTAATAAATACAGCTGTTACAGATCGATGGATTTCTTTTTTATTTAATCAATAGCTAAAGATTTCACTACTATATATTATAAAAGTATCCCTGAATTTAAAAATTTTTAATTTCGCAAACAAAAATAAATTAAAAAAAAAAAGTTTCTCTTATAAAACTAATAAAATAGTAGTGATATTTTGCCTTGTGATAGACAGAACATAACTATAAAACGATGGCTGCCGGTCATGGATGATTGCTTAGAACGTTATAATTGTCTTTCTCTCTATTTATTTTGTCAAAATCAACGATTTATTTATTCTTTCTCATTACTAAGCGTGTATACAAAAACAACTTATTACTTTATTTTTATTAACAAAAACAAATTATAATAATAATGCCACCCGAACCAGACGGACCAAGTGGATTCGAACGAATGGATTCAAATGGTAATCATGGTGGAGAAAAAAAACCATTTATGTATCGTGTCAAAACTGGTTTAACCAATTTTATGAAATCATTTCGTATTTTTCTTTATAATAAAGAACATCAAACATTTTTTGGAAATACAAGTTCATCATGGATTAAAATTTCTATATATTATTTCTTTTTCTATCTTTGTTTGGGTCTATTCTTTTCCGGTATGATTGCTGTATTTGCTGCTATTGTATCACGTGAATCACCAACATATACATATCGTCATAATCAAATGAAAGTTGGCGGAAAATTTTGTATTGGTTGGTTTTAATTAAAACTAACAACAAGAAATTCAAAGATTATTTTTTTTTTTGTTTTATATCTAGGAATGGGTTTTCGACCAATGCCTGATATAACTTCAACATCACTCACTGTTTATGGCGATTCACAATCACAAAATACAACAGTATCGTCTTTGACATCTTTTCGATATAGTTATTATATTAATAAAATTATTTCATTTATGATTATTATGTGATTGTTTTTTTTTGTATAGATTTTCTTACACAATATGATACAACATATTTAGAAGAATGTAGTCCATTTAATCCAGCTTCAAAACTTCGAGGAAGTCATTCATGTAAATTTTCTTGGGATGATATTGTTACAAGTGACGGTATTTATATAATATAAATATAAATATTTTTAAATAGTCGCTTGCTTTCTTTTTCTTTGTCTTTAGCACATCCTTGTTCAACTGAAAAAATGTATGGATGGCCAATAGGTCAACCGTGTATACTTATTAAACTAAATCAAGTAAAAATAATTTTTCAATTTTTAATCTTTTCTCAAAAATAATTGAAAATATCATTATAGAAGAATTAATCTTTATTTTTAAAGATTTATGGTTGGATGCCAGCTGATGGTAATATCATCGATGCAGTAGCCAATGCTACAGGTCAGCCAATACTTCCTATTGATCAACAGGGGCAAAATATTTATATAACTTGTGAGGGTAGAGAACAAGAAGATAAAAATAAGACTGGTAGTATGATATATTATTCAATTTTACATCCACTTGGTATTCCAAATTATGGTGGTATACCTTATTATTTTTTTCCCTATAGGTAAAATAAATTAGAAAAATTATTTTTCATCTTATATATATATATATATATATTGATTTATTTATTTTATTCTTTTAGAAATGCAAGAGAAGAAGTTGAACCATTTGTATTAGTACAATTTACGTCATTACCATTCGATACGAAAGTGAATATAATATGCCGTGCTTGGGCACCAGATATTCAACAATATGTTCAAGGTTCAGCACGTCGTGGAGTTGTTACATTTGATATATTGAGATCAAATAAGAGTGCTCCTGTAACAAAATAATTCAATAAAACAAAAAAAAAACATTTGAACTTTAATTAAACTATTTTTTCTATGTCTATAGTTTTGCTTTTTTTTTTGTTTTACAAATCTTATTATTACAATCTTCATTTTCTTTCATAGTATAACAATATTATTATTTTCATTTTTATATTCATATTTGTATGTTTATGTAAAGAAATCTTCTTTCTTCTAATGTCTAAGCAGTAAACGGTTGAAATATTATTGTCGTTCTTCTATAAGTGTGAAGAAAAGGTGTGCAGCAAATGGTTACGGTTGAAAGCATTTTTGTATGTACTGACGTTACTTTTTATTTATGTATATATGCATACATAGCATAGATCTAGTAGGTTTTTTTTTTGTATAAAAAAAATAAAAAAAAAAACAGAACGTAAGATTTTCTTTCTTTTTTTAACCTGATCGAACAAAACAAAAGACCATGCTTTAGATAAAATGATAAATAGAGAGATACAATCAAGTGATATTACAATAGAACCAACAAATGTTAATATAGAATTACAAAAAAATGACACTAATGTTAATAATTTATTAGATAAAAATATTAAAAAAACAAAAAATTCAAGAAAATCTTTTGCAAAGTTTTTATATAATTCAAAACGAAAAACAGTACTTGGTCGTGATGCTCTTAATTGGGGTAATTCAAAAGATAAATATAATAACCATAATAATATGTATATATATATATCTATTTATATTTATATTTTAGCTAAATTATCGATTTTTTATACAATACTTTATTGCTTTTTGGGTTGCTTTTTTGTTGCTTTAACTTATGTTTTTGCTCGTATACTTGATCGTACTCAACCAAGATATTATAATACAGAAAGTACAATGGCTGTACGAAGTACAGCTGCTGTTGGTTTGTATTTGTATGATTATTTCAAAATTTATCTAAATTTCTTTTTATTTTTATTTTTTCATATAGTTGGATTAGGTTTTCGACCTCAACCAGTTATTGATGAAAGTCTTATTCAAATAACAAATGATCCAATACAACAAAAACGTATTGCTTCATCTCTACGATTATTTCGAAATGTTTTTCTTTTACAAAATTCTGATGCTAAAGTCGAACAATGTTCATCACAAGAACCAGCATCTAAATTACCACCAGGTACAGCTTGTTTATTTAATTGGTATCATATTGTTAAAAATGAAAATCATCCATGTTCGGATAATAAAATGTATGGTTTTAGTTATGAACAACCATGTATTCTTATTAAACTTAATAAAGTATTAAGATTGATTCTTTTTTTTTTCCTAGTAATCAAAAATCAAACTATTAAATTGATTTATATTTAGGTTTATGGTTGGAAACCTGTAAAAGGCATTTTACCATTTGAGATTCAAAAACTTCGACATGTGTATAGTAATAAAAGTATATCAAATTCTGATGTATATATTACATGTGCAGGAACGGTAAGTGTGCTATAAATGTATTTATTTTGCACTTGAAGAATATTTCTTTTTTTGTTTTTCTTGTTCAATATTAAAACTAAACGTTGAGTAATATGAAATTTTTAATTTCAAAAAAAAAAAAAACGAATTATTTTTGACTTTTTTTTATTTGATGATTACACAATCTATGCAAATACACGAATTAATTAAAAAAAAAAAAAAGAAAGAAATTCAGCTGTAGAATAATAGTCTGAAATATAGATTACTCTAAGAAGCCAGCAAATACATCATGTTCATGTTTAATGGATACTTGAACTTCGTATGTATACCAATCTATTCAATTGTATAATCGTTCTACTATAAATAATCAAGTATGTCAAAATGCCTAAAGACAAATATCATGTTTTTTTTTCTTCTATTTTTTTTATTGAATAACTTAAAGTAATACAAATAAGAAATAAATGAATTTTATTCTTAATTCAATAGCATGCTGCTGATACTGATGTATTACTGAATGCAACTTATTATTCACTGAGTTATCCATTTGGTTCATCAAAATTTGGTGTTATTCCAAATTATTTCTTTCCATATCAGTAAATATTTCTTTCTTTCTTTTCTAAAGAAAAATGAAAACTTTTGAAAAGATTTTGAATATTTTTTTGTTTGTTTTCTTAGAAATGCAAAAGATCATGTTCAACCATTTGTTTTAGTTCAATTTAATATGTTACCATTAAATCGTCTTGTAAGTGTTACATGTCTTGCATGGGCACCAGGTATTGAACATAATACAAGACGTATGCGTGGTATGGTTAATTTTCAATTATATCGTACACATACAGATATCAAATATAATGAAAATAATGGCCGTTAATAAAACAAAAACATAGTATACATGTTTAGATTAAGTTCAATTGAAACTATCTTGTTTTTTTCGTTTACCTTTTCTTGCTGTATTATAGTGTAGTGGGAGTATGGTTTGAAGTATTGACTGATGGGTTTTTTTTTCTTGTATTTGCTTTTCGTTTTTCTTTTATTCGATAAATAAAATAGAATCATATTAATGTAAAACCACAGTTGCTCCTCAAACAAATGTCTATATAATGAAAGACATTATGAATGTTTGTGCATTTTTGTGTGTGTATGTTTATTTATCGTTTTTAGTACTAATAGAAAATAAATGGAAGGTAAAGTATATACTTGAAAAAAAAAAACGAATTTTTTTCGTTTTATGATTTACATTGTTGAGTCTTGCAAAAGATTGATAAATGTTCTAACAGTAGAAGTTTACAATGAAATATTTCATAAGTATGCTATATGAAAAATAAATAAATAAACGTTATTGTGCTCTTTCTATATTGAATAGACATACTATTCAATTACTTTTTTTATTTTTACTTTCATTCTCTGATTCTGTATCTCGTCTTTTCTATATTTATCAAGAAAAAAAACAATCATTGTCCTTTTCTTTTCTTTTCTTTTTTTTTTTGTAACTCATTTTCAATGTTTAACAAATTTAGTAAATGTTGTCATAAGTCATCATTTATTTTCTTTTTAAGGAATAATCAAACGACAAAAAAAGAATCATTTTTATGTACTCAATTTGTAACATATTATTATTATTATTATTAGCTAATTATGTTACGCTTTTACAACTTATTCGAATGATTCAAAAACAAAAAGAAAACCAATATAAACAAACTTGATGTTTGTTATTACTTTATTTCTCTATAATTTTAGATTGATAAGAATTTTAAATTCTTTTACGAATGAAAAACAACGAATGTTGCGTATATTATTCAATGGTTTAAAATTTTCTTTATTATTCTTATGTTTTTCTATAATTGGTTATATATTTGGTATATATTATTGGCAAACATTTATTCGATTTCCTTGTCCATCAACATTAATTCCAATGACACGAATAAAATATTCATTTTATGATCATTTTCAATATCGAACAAAAAAAACATGTCAAAATGAAAATTCACAATTATTTTTAACAATAGCTATAATATCATCATACGAACGATTATTAATTTATTTACCTTCAATATTTAATACATGGATATTAACAACAACAATTGATATTGAAATAATTATATTTATTGAAGAAAAATCTTTAATATCAGAAGAATTTATTGAAAATTTTTTTTTTGAATTAAATAAAAATCTAAGTCAATATATTAAATCTTGTTTATATATTGTTAAATTAAAACATGTTGAAAATAATTATCCACCACAAAAAAAAAGTTTCTATGCTATGAAATTTATTTATGCATTTTATCGTCAAAAAACATCATGGTTATTACGTTTAGATGATAATGCTTATGTTAATATTGAAGAACTAGTTAAATGGCTTAAATCAATTGATCATAGAAAAACTTTATATATAGGACAAGGTGGATCTGGTAGACGAAATGGATCAGCCATTCATTTTCCATCAGAAAAAGTAATCCAATGAATTATAATTAAATTAATTAAATTTTATTTTTATTTTTAGTATTTTTGTATGGGTGGTAGTGGAGTTATACTTTCTCAAAGTACTTTAATTCAACTCGGTCCATGGCTTGATCATTGTTTAAATAATGAAATTCGTACTCCACATGAAGATGTTGAATTAGGTCGTTGTATATTAAATCATGTTCATATTAGTTGTACAAAAGCGCATAATACAAGATCTTTATTTTATCATCATTATGGTCCTCGATATAAATTTGGTTATGATTTTACACCAACAATTGTTTCTCAAGCATTAATTATACATCCAATTAATGATCAAAATACATTTCAACAAATATTTACTTTTTATATACGACTAAAACAAGAAAAACAATATTTAGAAAATAATACATCGTTAAAAAAATTAATAAATAGAAAAACTTATGGAATATTTCTATCAGAAGTGACATTTGATGTTTCACGAGATGTATTTTATCAAAAGATTGATGTAAGATGGAGATCATATCTTGAACAAGCTGTTCGATCATATATTGAAAAAACAAGAATGAGTTGGCGTCAACGTTCCTTTAATTGGACATTGGTTAATGGTAAATTCGTATTCGGTTATTATCGTATAATGCCAACATATGGCTTAGAAGTAATAGTTGAAGTTCTACTAACTGCTTATTCAGTTTCTATATATCCAACTAAAGTTGCTTTTACTCAACAACGATTTCGTATGAATCAACCATTTACAAATAAACATCGTTTTGATTATCGAGAAATAACTGATATTAAAACAAATGAAAATATTTATCAATTAAATTTAATTGTTATTTCACATAATAAAGATGAAGCATTAATAAGATTAATAAATAATTATGAAAATGAAGTATTAAATTATCCTTTTCGACATGAACATTTTACATTAACAATACTTTATTTTTCTCAAAAAAATCAAACAACTAATAGAATTGCTAATCTTATAAATGATTTATCTGTCAGATATATGTCAATTATTCGTATATCAATTATTAATCAAAACCAAACTTCTTATAATCGTGGACTTGGTCGTCAATTAGCTTCACAATTATTTACTAGTAATCAATTATTATTTTTTTTAGATGCTGATCTTTTATTTACTGGACAAGCATTAGATAGTACTCGTCGTTTAATGATTCATCAATTATCTATATCATCATGTGCAGTTTATTTTCCAATTATATTTTCAGTTTTTTCAAATATATCTGTTGTTCATAATAATTCAATAATTAATGTTAATTCAAAAAATGGTTTATTTTCTATTTATGGTTTTGGAAATGTTGCTGTACGTAAAAAAGATTTAGATAAAATTGGTGGATGGGAAACTAATAATCATGATTGGGGTATGGAAGATGTTAATTTATATCATCGATTTAGTGATCCTTCATCAGAATGTTATGTATTTCGAGCAGTTGAACCTGGTTTAAAACATTATTATCATAAAAAAATGTGCAATGGAATTGCGAATAAAGCACGAGAAAAAATGTGTCTTGATGCAGATGCAATTTTAATCGGATCACAAATGGATATGATTAATTATTTATTTAGTAATACAAATTTGACTATTTAAGATTTTTCTTATTTTTAAAGATTAGATTCAGTTAAGCAATCTTTTACATAGAAATAAATAAGTCATTCTTGAAAGAAATTTTTAATAAAAAAAAAACAAAATTCAATTTATCTAGGTTTTTGTTTTATTGTTGTACAAGAAATAATCAAACTTCTGTCTATATACTAATATAGAAGTTCAAATTCTTTTAACAATAATATAGCAATGACAAAAGAGAATAATGAAAGATTTTCATGATTGAAATGAATTAGATCGAAGTATTAAACTGTTGAAGAATTAATCGATAAAACTTGAAGACTATTTTATCATATATAAATTACACCGCGAAAGCCTTGGCACAAAATATTCACTCAGTAAATTTTGTTAAAAAAATCAAAAAATTGTGTTTGTCCTAAGCAAAATAGTGGCTTCAGCGTACTCCTTAATTTACGTAGTTTGTGCCTTGCAGCAGTTTGAACCCAACATTACTGAATTCTATACAAAATGAGATATTACAAGAAGCAAAATCTCATCTATGCGTTCTCACTTTAAAATTTGTCATACAAAATAAACAAAATTGAGTGATTAAAAACTGTTTCGTATTTTGAATTTGATAGATTTCAATGGAAATATAAACATAGACCAAAATAATGTACAGTCACTATTTTGAATCGTTTGAAACAATCTGATGATAATTTATTCGATCTAACATCAGAAGAAAATTCTGAACGTATATTCGGAATTACCGAAAAAGTTCTATTCTATACCTAACTACTTCTGGCACTTGTGGCTATGCTCTTCCTTACTGTTGTTAAAAATGATCATTAATCTATATTTGTCAACGAGCGTCAGTTTATTATTATCTTGCAATTCGTTGAAGATAAGTTTTGAATTACTCTAAAGGCATAAATTCACAAGCAAATCGATTTTATGAGTAATGCATTTGTAAAAGAACAAGTTTGATACTTTATTTTATAAGTAATTGTTGTAAAGCGACCTCTCTCTCTCTCTCAAGCCAAGAATACTCAAAGGGAGGTGTTGTGAAGTTACCTAAATAATAAGAATGTCGTCTCTCAAAATCTACAAAATTTTATAAGATGTATTACGTTTCTAGAAAAAGAAAAATATCTTCATGAATAATATATTAATTCAATACAGTTATTAACATAAATACCTTTATAGAATTAAATTTTAGATTAATAATTCATGGTATGAATTCAATGACAAAGAATAATTCTTCATATATACCTTATGATAAACCAATATCAACATGGAAAACACTTTCAACAAGTTTAATTTCTGCTGAACGTGATTATGTAAAATTTTATTTGGGTCAAGCATTAATCGAACAATGTGAAGAAATTGAAAACGAAATTGATAGTTTACTTGACATCTGGCGAGAATATCGGTAAGAATAAAAAAACAATTGTTTTTTCTTTTCTTTTATTTAATAATATAAAAAAATAAATAAAAACAATTATTCTTATAAATCTAGAAATGAAACTGTTGCCAATTGTACAGATTCAACATTTCATAGTTTAGCTGAACCACCTATACTACGAAAACGTTTAACAACTGAAATTGAATTTTTTGTTAAACATATACATGAACAGTGCGCACAAGATGATCATATATTTCATCGTCGTTTATCAAATGGACATAATTGGAATGCTATTAATTATGCACTTGTAACAGGTACTGGTGATGATGAACGTCGTATACGTGAACGACCTGTATCAGCACGTGATCGTCATGGACGAGAAACACCAATATTAAGTATTCCAGAACCAGCTGCAAATATTGATGAAACTAAAATAATAAATTCTCTTTCACCAAGAACATTAGCAAATATTGATATAAATACTGTACGTAAGAAATTAAAAGATTTTACAATTGATGATATTATACAACGTTTAAGACAAGCAATTACTGATGATATTAAAATACTTGAAAATCATGTTACTTATGTACATGTAAGATTTCTTTGTTTGATTATTTTTCTATTCTGTTATATTTTCTGATTGTTTTTTAATTTAGCAAAAATTAGAAGAAGAAGCAGATTATCGTGCAAAAACAAGAGGTCTTTTACGAGAACCAACTCTCGGAGGTAATGATATAAGACATGTTCAGTTAACAATAGACGATTGTCTTTTATCATAAACAACTATCTATTGTAACGAAAAAAAATCTATCATTTTTTTTTTCTATACCCGCAGAACACGAGCACAGTCTCAAAGTTATGGATCTTTCAAATGTAATAGTAGTCCACCCTATCCGAATGAGCACAAAATAACAGTGTAAATTATCGAATAGATTAGTTCATTATTTTTCACTGTTTAGTTGTAACTTCTTTTATGTATCTAATTTCGTTTGTTCTACATGTTTTCTATTGATGTAAAAATGTGTACGCATAGACATTAATGAGCGACAGCTATTCAAGAATTAACAAAAAGGACATAAGCATGCTTTAATATCATCTCGTTATGAAACTAAACACAATCTAAAAATGAAACGATGTACAGTCTGCGATGAATACAATATCCATTATGGAAATATCCATAAGACCTGAATGACCTATTTCATAAAAACGAGAAGCCCTCATTTGGTAGTAAAGAGTTTACTTCATACTTCTTGCAAGATAATTGAAAGGCATGCCTCCTTGCGTTTCTCAAACCCTACATAAACTTCTAAGACGACATCACCTGCCAGAGTCGTACAGAAGTTTCTTCTCAACTCCTCCAAATCTTGTTAATTTCAAAAACAAACGTATCGTAATAAATGCAATTTAAAATATCTATATGCAGATCCATAAAATGTTTATGACAGATGAACGTATGAATGAGAAAAGTAACTATCATAGCTCGTATCAAAGTTATCAGACAGTTTAAAAAATCCAATTTATCGAATTTTGTGCTTGTAAGCGATTCAAAACATAATTAAAACACCAAAAAAAAACTTGATCATAATAAAAGGTCACCTACAAACTTTTGAATTGCGAACACAAATTACCCTCTACAGAAAAATGCTTACTCGGAAACCGACTAAAATAGGTTTTAGGTCCAATTCCGGAAACCCTTAAAAGGCTATTCAAAGGTGGAAAATAGGTTTCCCAGAAAACGATTTTTTTTAGAGTGTAAAAGCCCAGTAAACTACTATTCTGTGAGGAGGGTTACTTAATTTCATTAGATCAATTTCTTCCGCCATTAAGATATCAGAATGAATATAATTGTAACTTCATTTCATTTAGAACTTAGAGATGAACGTAACCGACTTGAGAAAGAAATATTTAATACTACCAATACATCAGCTCCAGTCGAGACATCGAGTACTTTACAAAAGTAAAAATTAAAATTTTTTTTTTGTTTTGTTAATTAAATTAAATTAAATTAAATATTAGTTCTCATAGACAAACATCAACACATGATACTAGTCGTCGTTCATCAGCAAGTTCAATAACTAGTTTGATTCAAAGTCCTCGATCATCATTAGATGAAATAACAACAAAAACTATTCATTCAACTGGACCTTTACATGCTTTTGCAACTGATCCATTGACAACAACAAAACCTCGTTTATCAATTGATCGAAAAGTTTCCACAGTATCAACAACAACAGCTGGGAAGTCCACTACACCTGTATTAGTTCGTTTGGGTTCAATTAAACAACAAGATCTATTGAAACAATATCCATCATTAACGACAACAGCTACAAATACAACAAAACCGACTAAAACTCGAGAAAATTCAACAACACGTAGGAATTCAGCTGATAAATTTCGTCAAATGGTGCTTGACTGTCGTGAGATAAGAAACTGAATATATAACATTGGATAAAAGATAATTAATTTCTACATGATAATATAGTTTCCATTGGTTTTTATTTTGTATTCAAGTATTTTTTTTTTTTGAAAGTCTATAATGATAACTAATCATTGATAATAAGATTTACTTATTTTATTTGAATAATATTTCATTACATGTGTGTGTGTGTGTGTGTGTGTGTGTAAATGTTTGACGTATGAAAATATTAATGGGCTTTTTTGGACTACTCCTGATTCGTCTCCTGACTAAAGTAGTGTTTAATTTTTATATACATGCATTGCTGATGCAGTTTTATTGAGTAACAAAGACAATTTTTACCAAAACATCAAAAAATAAATATCAACATTTTTTCTTTTACAGGCATAAGAAAGTGTAAATAAATGATACAAATAGAAGAGAAAAATTATAGTTAATATCAAAAGACAAGTCAGCTGTTATTCGACATAAATATTCTTGACAGCTAAATCACATTTAATGGATAAATCCATCTTAGTGATTTGTCCATCAGAGAACTATTTGAGCAATTTTTCAAGAAGCAAGTCTACATTTGTTATTTCGTTTTCTCCTCTTACGTAATTGTCGACTGTTAAATAAAGTGGAAACGAATTCGGAATAATTAAAAAGCAGACGAATCAGAGTAAACAATTTTTTTTCTAAAGAAATTGATTGAAAGTAACTTAACTATACTAGTAATCTATTACTTTTCGTAGTAAATATACATGCGGTCAAACGTAGAAACTCATTGTTAATAAAATATTTATTTAATTTCAACACAAAATATTGTCATCTACTATTCTAGGTAAGCATAATAAACCAGCTTTATTACTTGATAATTATCGTTTACCACGAAAAAAATTATTCATTAATCGAAACGTATAATTACATAATTTAGAAAATCGTTATTAACAACAAAAATTAATATTAGAAGTATACCAGGAAAAGTTATGCGATTAATTGGTATCAAAAAGTATTGATTTTTGTTTTTCTACACATGCTTTTTTCTCTAATATCTTTTGTATACGTATTTAATACTTTTCTCTAATAAATTTTTTGAAAAAATTATTCAGAATTATGAAGCATTATAATTGATAAGTATGTTTAAAAAAAATCTAATCAAACAGATTAGTCTACTCTCCTCCTACTCATTACATTTTATTTTTCGACGCAATGGAAATATTCGTAATTTTATTTTCGACAAAACAAGACCCAATCAGATGAAAAAGCAATGACGCAAATATTGGCTACTATTTCTTTTGTAATAGAAGGCTGCTGAAATAAAAAACATCTTCTCTTTTGAATTGCGTGTAACTTATTTTTATCACACGTTTATATACGAAATAACAGAACAGAAAAGAGAAGCATCGTTAAAAACGAGTCTACACTTTTCATATACTATTTAGAATAACAGGACAATATATCGACGTCTGTTTCGCTTTAGCAAACACATAATCGTTGTGATATCAGTAAGTGTCAATTAGCTAAGCATTTCAACGTTAATCAATCAATCATCAGTCTTAACTTATGGAAAAGAACATCGGTTATTATCAGGAAATGTCAAGAAGCTTCACAAACGGATAATAAAGTTCAAGAAAAAAACTATGAAAAATTATATAAAACGATTCTTCGTGATTGTAATGTTATTTTAGATGACGAAAACTATTTTCAGTTAAGTGAGAGTTATACTGTGTCAAATCTATATTATTATTGTAGTAACCCCAATAATCATGTAAAAGCCTTTGGTATATTTGCTGTTAGTTTAACATCATATTTCAGTTGATTTGTAAGATTTGATTGATTGAATCAATATATCAATTGCAAATTCGTTGAACGAATGTTTCTCTTTCTTTTCGTATCACTTTGTTTATGAAAATATAACAAAACCAAGTCGTATACAATTCAGAAGAGGGAAAAATTTTCCATTAGCTGTTAAAACAATTAATGTTTCAACATATTTTTATTAAAGAGAAATAGGCGTCGACGACTGAAGTTTTTCGATGAGTTATGTAAAAGTTTTCTTAACTTTGGAAAATTTTGAAACGAAAACCAAAAAAACCGATGCAGGAGAACTTATTTATAAGAAATCAGACGGCAACATGCTCAAAAATCTGATCTGGAACGTCGGAAATTTTTAAAAATCAAATATTTATTTTTGTGTCGCGTCAGTGGTGGCGGACTGAATCGCTTGAGCGTTGATGGACTCGGGTTATATATCTTAAAACCTTTGCAGTCATCAGCGGTAGCGAGGTCTCAGCCGATCAGCTGACGTCTCTACCTGTTATTCTGAATTATATGTAAAAAGTGCGGACTCCTTTTGAGGATGCTTCTCTTTTCTATTGTGTCATTTTGTTTATGAATGTGTGATAAAAATAAGTTTTTTTTCAATATCTTTCTTTTGAAGATAAATAAGAGCCGATATCTATGTCATTACATTCGTATCAAATATTATGTTAATTTAGAATTGAATATTCGTACAAAAAACAAATAAATAAATAATTCATATAATAAAAAAATCGACATAAAACGTGTTTATTCGTTTGACGTTGCATAACAACGAACATCGATAAATTACTTGTGAATAGATATATAAAACACGGATAAATCTAATATTTAGTAATTAATAGTTAATAATGCCTATATTTACAAAATTTTATTACAATGACATATAAATATTAATTATTGAATGTCTCATACTATCAATATAACAGTTCGTTTTTTATTTATTTATGTATTCTAAACACAACTGAATTCTCATATCAACTTTGACATATACATATCCATATTTCGTATTCGATATTAATAGTTAAATTGTTTTTTAAAAGATTAATCTTTTGGACAATGACTGAAGTATCGCAAATTGACCAATTCTTATATTGTACAAGGATATTTTCACACGTAAAAACATGACATTATTAGTCACATATTTGTTTATGCTAATCACGTTTATTAATATATACCTACTATCATGTGGTTTTTTTCTTATACTAATTATTGTTTCATGTATGTGCAAATGAGATAAAACAAAAACATTGTTTTTTTTCTAAGGTTAAGAAATATTTAGAAAAGATTTTTCGAGCAAATTCAAATATTTTATATTAGTCATTTTTTTTTAGTATGATAAAATGACTAAAAACCTTATTAGCAAATTTGAAAATCTATCTAATGAACTTTTATTTAATATATTTGAATATTTAAATGGTGAAAAGTTATTTAATGCTTTTCATAATCTTAATTATCGAATTAATAGGATATTGAATGATGATCGTTTACTTATGAATATTGTCTTTAATCGAATATCGACGATGGAATCGGTATGTAATATGAATCAAATTCAATTTTTAAATGTGGGAAGTTCAAATTCATATTTTTCATGGATAGCCACAGATTTACAGAAGTGTTCTATTATGCCACGTGCTTCTCGATTATCAATTAATAGTCCTTATACACCTGATTTAATAGTTGGATTAGTGTATATAAAATCTCGAATGCCAAATCTTATCCATGTTACTGTTAAAATAGATGAATTTCTGGCTCCAGCTGGTCATCATATAGAATTTCTTATAGAAGGTCTGCTTGATTTATCTCATATTCGTAGATTTTCGTTGAAATTAACATATCATACAAGTGAAATTGTTTATACTAATTTCACAGGAAGAAAAAAAGCACCATATTTAGAACATTTATCAATAATTGGATGCAATATTTCATTACTATCGATTATTGATTTAATTACAAATTCACCTAATTTATATTCACTTGAAATGAAAATTCAAAAACATGTTCCATGTCCAGATTTTTCTGTTTTTCAACAAATAACTAAAGCAACTCTTAAATTTGTTGGATTTAATAATGATAATTTTCAGGATTTTTTTAGTTCTATGACTCGTCTTATTAGTCTTCGTCTTGATGATGAAACATTGATTTCAACAGCACGTCTCTATGTATCCAATACAGTACATATATCTAAAGCATCAGTTGGATATTTCAATTATCGGTAGAAATAAAAATAAATAAAATTGAGATCATTAATTTTGAACTATTGAAATGTAACAATGAAATATTATTTATGAATCTCAAATATTTTCTTCTATTAAAATGTTGTAAATATTATTATTCTTATATTGACTAAATGAATAAAACGACGAAGTAAAAGAATTCAGAGGATTTGTTATTAGTTCTGTTTCACAGAAAAAAAAGTCGTGCGAAATTTCTGTTATACCTGGCTACGATCATAATGGCAACTTTACGATAGTAAAAAATTTCGAATATTCTCGTAATTCTGTCCACAATAAGATGGCACCGTATACGATCGTATATGAGCGATAATCTTGCTACGACACGACTGTATTTCTGTATGCAGTATTTTTACAGTATACAGCTTGTATTTTTTGTCTTAGGTTGAATAAAACCAAATAACTCTGATTTGAAAAAGGATTGCTAAGATTCAGAATGCATAAAGAAAAATAAGGATATTTAAAAAAATGGATTTATCAACTTGTACTTGTAAAATATTCATGAAAGAAAACGCTCATGTTGAAATCAGAGGAATTATCTAATACATTATAGAATGGTAAAAATAGACAAAAAAAAAAAAGAATAACGTTTTTTCATAGTGTAAATCCATTGCAATTGTGTAATTCGAGCAATTGTTTATGATGTATTTGCTTTTGCCAGACTAATTTTGAAAGTCGTTTGAGAATATAGAAGGAAATTTCTATTTGAATTTAAAAACAAATTATGTTAAGATCAATTATCATTAATATGTCTCTATATAGCAGAAAACTGCATGAATGCTTTGTTAAATTTTCTACACAAAATAAATATAAGTGCTAGATATGGACAAGATGGTTCCGGGACCAACTTTTTTTTGTTCTGACCGGAATTGGAGTCAAATGCTGGGTTTTAGCCGAGATTGGGATCGAAAACGACTGGTCCCACTCATACTATCATTTGTGAGTCAGTATATTAAGAAACACTCATCTAAATACTCAGAATAATATTCTGGAAGCCTTAGATATATATATATATGAAATTTATCGAACACTAGCTCAGCTTGACTGAATACTGATGTTAACCAGTTGGATCTTCTATAGAAGTAGATTCATTAGGAAGAGCTTAGGAATTTATTTTTTCCGATATTTATTAGATTTAAACAAACCCTTCACTTTATCCTTCAATAACATATATATATATATCATAGTTGACATGAAAATTCAGTTGTGAGTTTGAAATGCACAAATTAATTTTAAAAAATTCTCTTAGACAAAAAAAATTTATTATGTAAATAAAGATTCATGAACAAAAAATGAACTAATTGGTATAGACAAGAGTTTACAAAATAAAATTATATTAAACATCATAAGTAAACAATTTTAATCGTTTTTTTTTTCTTGATATATTTCTTTTACTGTGTTATCAAAAAAGCCGAACCAAAACTTACCAAGAATGATTATGTATCATTTACCATCGATTATAATCTTTAGACAATAAATTTAACTTTCAATTTTATTATTCCTTACATTCTATTGAACAAAATAGATATGGTCAATTTACTATTGTTTACATAAAGAATAACAATCTAAACACATCTCTATTATCAAGCAAACTTCAATATACAATGAAACCATATTAACACTAAAGAGTTTTGTTTATATACTTACGATATCTTTTATTAAAAAATTACAAAATCTTATATAAGTATAAGTCAAATTGATCTTGAACAGAAGCATAATTAAGAAGAATGATTGCTCGCTCCCACTCAAACAATACAAACTTATATAATTTACTTGTCGTTTTCCTGCATTATACAAAATTTATTTCTGCTCGAAATATTTAGAACAAAGTCTTTTTTCTTTTAATTTCGATTCCATACGTTTCTAATTTCTATTCTGAGAAATTAAAATGAATTAGTTATTGAAAACAAAAATTTGAAGACAATTGATTAATTCAAATAAAACTGTGTCACAAAATCTTTCTTGTATTCATAAACTGTAGAATAATACAGAATATCGGATTGCAGATCTAATATAATCAATACAAGATGTTACACACATACGATTTGTAAATGTGTAATCAAAAATGCAACAAAAAAAGGGACATCTGTCGCGACCTAGCGCCAGTTTTTCTCATTTTAAAATGTCATCAAGAGTCTGATATTTCATTTTAACATTATCTAGGTCATTTTCGTACTATATTATATGTAAATGTTATGGAACATTCACCACTAGATTCATTGAATAGAAAACAAAGCCGAAACAAAAACCGCACACACATCAAATTTTCTCAATCAAATTAAAAAAAACTTTAATTATCCTTTATTCACTTTGTATAGTCTTAATGGATTGAAAATTTTATTTCTATAATGATTTTTCTGATGCATGATAAACATTCAAGTTGGATTTCAAGAATTAAATGTTATTGTTTTTTAAAGGTTCAAAAAAAAAACACTTGAAATTTGGCTTGATAAATAAAATTGAATAGATTAGAGCATCAAGACTATTCAATACTAAATTTTTTTTCATTGTAATAAAACTACAAGATTTTTACATTGTAAAGAAAAACCTTCTATTTACATGTTTTTATAAAAGTGACAAATATTCACGTGACAAACAAATGTTTTTCTTTAATTTCTGAAGCTCAACTATTATGGATCATACAAACATTATTAATTGAATGAAACCTTTAAAAAAATAAAGTAGTCAATTTCTACTTTTTTCAATTCTATCCGACAAAATCTTATTTGTTGTTTTCTTCTCAATAGATTTACTCTTATTTGACAACGAGTATGTTTGTTTGTCGTCTTGCATATTCAATCATTCCTTCGTTTTTTTTTTTTTTTTGTTATTCTAATATGAAAATGTGTGCTTGTGTTTGTCTATGTAACCAGTCAATATTGTCAAGTAGAAAAAACTTTCTATAACTTTTCTTTTTCTTTTTTTAAAAAGAAAACAAAAGACAAGAATCAACATTTTCTGTTCGTTAGATGTGTCCATCGAAGAGTAAAAGAAAAAAAAATTGTATAAAATGACATGGTGTGTTTAAGCATTTTTGCACATAAATAAGTGAAATCAATTGAGATGACTACAGTAACAGACACATCAAATTTGCATCATAATCGAAATAATGTTAAAACACCAACATCACAGATTATTGGTGATTTAAAAACATCAACTAAGACAACTATGCCATACAATATAAAAGATTCACATCATAATTCATTAGTTTCATTTGCACAAGATTTTTCTCAATCTATTCCAAATCCTAAGAATAATTTTCAAAAATTTTCAACATCATTACTTAAAAATAAAGCTTTACTTGTACCAACACGTTTAGCACTTAAACGACAACGAGCATCTCTTAAACCACCTACATTAAAATATGAACCTGTTCGCTCTGATACACTTCAAATGGAATTAGGTAATCCAGAAGAATTAACATTACATAGTGATCATGATGAGGATGAACATACTACAGCAATGATATCACAACATATGCAGTTACCAAAAGAACAAAATCGAATGCAATCAACATCAAATCAGAGTAGTCCATTACGAGAAGATACGCCACATACTGTACCAACTGATATTGCACTCTTGTATAGGTATGTGAAGAAATTCTATTTTATAGATTTGCACACGTTTTTTTTTTTCTTACGTTTTAATTTTGCCTTTTGAGTCTAACCGAACAAACTTTTCTCATTTAAATGTAAATATAACTTTTCCGGACAATATGCTCTATATACTTAAACAATTATTAATTTAATAAAGACTTTTATTATTAAGAATATAAATCTCGCTTATGTCATATCGAACTCTTCAATGTTGTAATGAAAGAAAATAATATGTATGAGAAAAGCAACAACTTGCATATACGTATATTTAAATATTTTTTTCTTTTTTTGCTAAAAATAGAAAGTTTTTTTTATCTATTATTTATTATGTTTCGTTCTTGACAATTGATAACCTTGACCTGGCAAAAACGAACTTTTTTTCCGATATTTTTCTCAATGAAAAACAACAAAAAAAAACCAAAATATTTATTAAAATTTAGAGAAAAACCATTATTTTCTCATCCAATTACTGGTAATTTTATTGTACAATATGCTGAAGAAAATGGAGGTCCATCACCATGTTCATATGTTTTACCACGTAAATCATGTCGAGAAAAAAATGCACCTGCTTTTTCCTTTGGATCAAAATGTTCAGTTGAAAGAAGTAAATTTTAATTTTAATAGAAAAAAAAAATAATAATAATAATTTGACAATTTTCTTCTCCTATACAGATGGTGGTTCACGTACAGCTTGGCAAAAACAATGGTTTGCACATTCAAATCCATATACAACTAAAGTTGATTTTAAACGTGAAACTGTTTGGCCAACACCATTTCATTATCCAGCAAAACCAACTTTAGGTGTACAAGTAACTAAAGTTAGTTTTCCAGCATGGTCTATTGCAACACGTTTTCAAACAAATCCAACTGTAATGTCAGGAAATAATCCTGGTCCCGACACATATGATACAATATCAGCTTTTCGAAAATTAAAAGCAAAAAATACATATATTACATTGAAATCACGTCCAGGAGGTACTCAATTATCGACTACACAAATTTCAAGTAATGTTCATTTGGTGTTTGTTTTTTGTTACATTCAAAATAGATAATTTATTATTTGTATTTTTTTTTCTGTCATACAATAGATAAAACTCCTGGTCCAGGTGCACATGATGAAAGAAAATTTTTATCAAACAAATATTCAGCTCCGAAACATTCATTTGGTAGACGTATGCCAACATCACTTGGTCAAGATCCTTATGTAAATACATTACCATCAATTGAAACTTAATTTTCATTTTTCTTATTCGCATTTTAACTGTCGATATATTCTTTTTTTACACACCGGTTTAGAGTAAAACAACAAAAAAAAACTCTGTATTGACTTTTATTTCGTTCTAATTATTTTAGATAAAATTCGGCAAACAATTTATTTATATACATATGTTACTTCGAGCAAGTGTAAAGGATATTTGCTTATTGAAAGAAAGAAAACGCTATGTTATATTGACGTCATAGACAATATAGTTGAGGCTTTGGCACCAGCTGGTAATAGTAATATTTTAAAATTTTATGCATGTCTATAGTTTGTATTGTATTCACGATAAGTAATACAAGACAAAAGAGTATAAAAAAAAACAGAACACGAAACAATAAACAATAGAACAACACAAATAGAACAAAAAAGAAAAAAAATAATACATATCTATCTATACAGATAGATTATCTTTACATTATATACACAGATATGAGACAAAAGTTCATTCTACAATGTTTAATAGTTGGCAAACATCTAGAAAACATTTAAGATGAGATATCTTGATCAAACATCCTTTCTTCTGGTATCAATTCACCAACGATATATTTATCTAAGATCATCCATGCATCTAGACTATGAGGTTTATCAGCAAATGCCATTGTAGCATCAGTACCAGCATATTCCAACATTATATCGGAGCCTCCTGGATGCTAAAAATAAAGTAAAATTAAAATTAAAATTTGAAAAATAAAGAAATAAATAAATTTACTTCTCGCATAAATTCTGTTAAATCATAGACAAGATCTTTGATTACCATCCAACAATCATTCTCCGTACAATGTGAAGATACTTCTTTTAATGTAAATTGTTTTCTTTTAGGCAATTGAACTACTTTCAAATTAAATAAACGATTATGTAGATTATTGAATGCACCTATATAATAATGAAAATATATAATCAATAATGAATACATTTAACTAAAATAAGGAATAACTTACTTAGAAAATCCATTGCAAATTGTAAAAAGCTTTTTGAAAATTGTCTAGTTTAAATATTTCTTTGATATATGAAGTGAAATAGATTGGCATCGTCGATATTTATAATATCATCATTAACAGAGACACAATAGTATGACGAAATGGATAAAAACATAGGAGAAAAAAAAGAGGTGTGTCCTGAAAAAAACTTATTCCATTGGCCGATTAATTTCTCTTATTCTCTCTCTTTACCATATTTCATCAGAATAGTTGAAAAATACTGGATTGAAGCCAAATCAGAAAAAAATCACAAGGACAAAAACGACTTAGTTTGACGATAGTTTCATTATCATGGACGAGTAAATTTATAAAGCAAAAGAACCTACTCCAAATAAACGTACGGATAGACCTATGTAATACATGCCACATGTGTCAGCGCATAGTATTTTTTTTTTCTTTTCATATTGATCAACTTCGTCATCATCGCTCGATTCTCTTTAGAAAATTTGTATCATCATGACGTTGCTATTTGTTCTTTTCGTGGATTTGACGAAATAAACGGGAATTATAGAAGTTTCTTTCTTTGTTTAATGACTCACAAAGAAGTTTTGTGCATTTGTTAATTGTTTTAACTTTTGCTTATGACGATCAAATGAATAATAATGATTGATTTCTACGCAGATAAGAATTATCTCAGTAAAGAATATGCTCGTAGAATCAATTTGAAAACTAAAGTATGAGTCGATACTTATTTTATTAGAGTATTAGAAAATAGTATAGTTTTTTGAGAGCATTCTGTCAAACTTCACGACCTTGGCTTTATTTTGAATGAATTGAATTTATTATAAAGGAAGCTATTCTTTACACTTATTCGTCATTCTCATTGAATACTGACGAAGCATAAAAGACATCCTATGCCTAGGCATCGATTGAATATTTAATGAATTGCTGAATCATGTAGTTGTAGTTAAACATGTTTCATATTTTCATTGTTATTCGTTCTCACTATAAGATAAATGAATAAATCATTGAACACAGAAGGCAGAAAATAGATATACGTCTACATTGACTTTTTTCTGATATTCGTTTTTCGAGCGTAGGTTGCCTATATAAAATTATTATGATCATCATTCTATAAATAATAATACAACAAAAATCACGTTTCACTTGTCACTACTTCTTTCGATCCCTGACTAAGATGATTGTTTTATTCATATTATAATCATATGCATTATATCATACTGTTCTAGTATTTAAATGCTTTTAGATTTTGATTCTTATTTCTTACAGTGCCTCGAAATAGGTTTTTTTTTATTAATTTATATTTTCTTGTTAAATTGAAATAATTTTAGTTTTGATCTCCATTGTCAAAGTAAATTAAAGCTAAAAATAGTATGCATTTTATTTATTACTTTTTACAAGAGTGGAAAAGAATATAATGATGAACAACAAGTATAATTAAAATCAAAAAGTACTTATGATTCAATGCAATTTTTCAAATAAGAAATAGATGAAAGTTATAAAAGAGTAGATTAAAAAAATTTTCGAACTATTTTTTTCGATATAATAATTAAATTTATCGGTTATTTGTTACTAAAACGAAGAAATCAATAATAAACTATTAACGACGAATTTAGAGAGAATATTGAAAATACTCCTGTTATGGCTTGCATCTTCTTCGGATGCAGTTATAAGGATTATTTCCCATTATCTATAGGATTGTACATATACACTTCTATTTTTCTGTCGTTCGTCATGTACCATGAGTTTTTCTTACGAATCATATATGTACATGTGAGGGATTTTTTTTTCTTTCTTTCTGTTCTTCTTTCTTTCATGTTATTCTACGAATTTACCTTTCATTGTTCATGATTTATGAGGGTTTCCCCATGTTATCGTCCTATGTATACTCGTGAGATTGTTGTGAGAGGGGATGTAGATATAGTTATAGAAATAAAGTACAAGTAGGATTAATATTTCAACTTTCTTTCGAAATATTTTTCGATTTTTCACAGTTGAAAAATGAGCCGATACGGTTTGATAGAATTTGTCTGTAAAACAAACGAATGAAATAGTTTTTTGTTCCGTCTAGATATTTATTATGGAGTTAATTCAAAAGAAAATGCGTTAGAGATTATTGATTTTAACCAATTAGTTTTCCATTGCAAAAAGACAATCATTTCAAGTTTATTCAAGATGATGATCGTAGTAAGATGTTTTCAGAAATTTTATAATACAATCATTATTGAGAATAATAAATACATACATATAAAAGCATAATTATATTCTGTCTCATATTAACGATTCAATTTTGAAACTATTAAATTCTATGAAACAAACAACTAAAAAGCTATTTTTTTATTGTATGCATGTATTGAAAATTTGGTTTCTTCTTTGTTCATTTATAAATATGTACAATCATCCAAATAATATAAATCATTAATCATTTGATTCTTAGATTTGTCATTAATTAAGATCTTTTTATAAATAAATACAAAATATGAATTTCATATTTCTTTGAATTAAATTGACGTTTGTACTAGAGATAATTTACTGCAATGATTGAATCGTTATTGCGTCGTATTTTGACGTAATAAACCAAACATTACTATCGTTCTACGAAATATCCTGTTGCTTTCTTTTTTTTTCTCTTTTGTATATTAGCGTGTGCACCGACACCCCCATAATACGAGCCCCCTCTTCTTTCATCGCATTGAAACTATTACTCGACACACCCTCCTGTACGCAGCACTAAAGCAACAATTTTCTATTGCGTCTTTTCCAATAACGCAATTCCAATATTTTTTGTTATTCTCTTCATGATTGCTGAAAAGTACTTGTCATTCATTCAGAAGAAAAGAACGTACTAATAGTCGACCTCCTGACTTCTTACACAAGTGTTATTCATTATAAAATTATGTTCTACTACGTCGTTTTTTTTTTTGTTTTTTTTTCTTCTTCTTTGAATATCAACATCATCAGTTGTCATCTATAGTAATCGAAACAAAAAAAAAAGAAAACATTTTGTTCGACGTAGAAAATACAACAAAGAAATAAAGACAAGAAACAGAAGAAAAAGCATGTATAACGATCTTTAAAAAAAACATACACACAATCTAAATTCCATATGAGACAAAGTAATAACAACAGTAAAACAATCGAAGATTGTTTTTTTTTCTTGTCTATATGTTAATTACTAATCGAAATAAAATTTGTTGAATATGATGAAGTTTTCCGTTCTCGTTTCTTCTTGTTTTTTTTTCTACATACACAAACAAAAATATGAGAAAAAAAAAAGGAAAATTCATAAATCAACGTCTTGATGAACCCCAACCTAAAAACAAAATAAAAGAAGAAACTTAAACATTAACAAGAAATTCATTTAAATAATATACCCGAGTTTGAAGAATACGTATGAGATTGTTGTGAATTATTAAATTGATTAATATTCGGTCCATAATAATTGTTATTACTATTATGATTCCATCCAGTACCATCAGTTGTAGATCTAAATGAATAATCAACAGTAAACTTAAATTTGATCGAAAGTAAAATTCTGAAAAATGTTATTATTGCACGATCAAAAACAGCTTAGGGGTGTGGCTGAAACGAAGACACACCTAACTACCCACGCCTTAATTGCAAGTTATCATAATAGAAAAAAATTCTCGTATTTATCAAAATTATCCAAATATATGAGATTTGATCAATTTTATGAAAGCAGAATAAAAAATAAACGAATAAGAATATCTGATCTCCTCCATGGTTTGTCTCTCATTGTAGCAAAGAAAAGTTATCTCCTCAGTATGTATTATATGTGAATAGAAAAAACATCTCGAACTTGTTATTTTTGTTTTAATAACTATCAAAACTATAGAAAAATTTTTATTTCTTACTGTGAATAGGAATCACGCATTGAATTCGATTGTAGACCATTAGCATTATTATTATTATTATTCCATTGTTGAGAATTCGAATACTGTTGTTGAACATAGTTTGGTTGTTGATATGAACTACCATAATTATTATAACCACTTCTGTCATTATCTTTAATTAAAAAAAAAAGAACAAAGGTGTTCAAATTACTTTTATTAAACAAAATACAAACTCATATAATTATTATTCGATGGTGGACCATATGAATTTTGTGAATACTAAAATAATAATATAAAATTTAATAAATTAATTTTATTATTCGAATTCAAACATACAGAATCATATTGATTTTTATTATAACTTTGATTGTTCATATTACTATTACCAAAGTTTGATACATTATTTCGATCATTTATTGATTCATCACGTCCCCAACCACATTTAGTTGTAAAACCATGAATTTCTGAACCATGTAAATGACATATTGCTTGACAAGCACTTTCTTTTGAAGAGAATCTATTGTAAAAAAAACAAAAACAATTAATTCAAATCGATTTTTTTAAGGGCAAAAAAAAACCTTACCGAATAAAAGCATATCCTTTTTCTTTAAATATACGTATTTCTTGTATATGACCAAATGATGAAAAAATTGAACGAGCTAAATCTTCATTAATATCAGCAAAACCACCAAAATAAACAGTTGCATTTGTATCTCCTGTTCGATTCCATACTTCATTATAGTCAAGTTTAGGTGTGGAAGATTCTTGACCAAATTGAGAATTATTTGAATCTAAATTAAAATTTTATTATTAAAAAATAAAAATAAAATAATTCATATTTATTTTTGTTAGTTTAATTTCTTAATAGACTTTAACGAAGAGAAAGAAAAATTATATTTGAATTATTTTACTTTCATTAATTTTAATAATTGTTTTATATTTTGAAAAAAAGAAATTACCTAAGAACATTTATTATTAATACCCAAAAAATGATTATTTGAGAATTGTTTTGTTTTGTTTCTTTTAAGGATTTCTATTTCAAGATTTTCATGTGAAATAAAAGATGAATAAACTTTTTTAAGTTTGATAATGATAGAAAAACAATTCCGAAGGTCTAGTCAATTTTATTATGTGTATTATTTTGACGTAAATTTTTGAA